ATATATATAGTTAATGGGATTATTAATGGGATATCTATATATATAGTTAATGGGATTATTAATGGGATATATCTATATATATATAGTTAATGGGATTATTAATGGGATATCTATATATATATAGTTAATGGGATTATTAATGGGATATATCTATAGTTAATGGGATTATTAATGGGATATATCTATATATATAGTTAATGGGATTATTAATGGGATATCTATATATATATATAGTTAATGGGATTATTAATGGGATATATCTATAGTTAATGGGATTATTAATGGGATATATCTATATATATATAGTTAATGGGATTATTAATGGGATATATATATAGTTAATGGGATTATTAATGGGATATATATATAGTTAATGGGATTATTAATGGGATATATATATATAGTTAATGGGATTATTAATGGGATATATCTATAGTTAATGGGATTATAAGCCATCTATATCCATTTATAACATGGGGCAAAAGAATATACAGTGATACCATGGATAATAGTGATTCCCAGTGATGATATGGGATAATAATGGATAATATATGTCACACTACCATGGAAAAATGGAGAATTCACTTTATGGGATTATTAATGGGATATGTGGAGAATCACTGGTGGAGGTATTTCTGCTAATGGTGGACGTTTGAATGACTATGAATAGATCATTGGGGACTGAATGTTGGCTTCGTTATCGAGATTCAATGATTCATGGTGAACATTTCACCTGCGAAAAGCTTGATGAACGTATATGAACAACCAGGAAAGGCAAATGTCTCAACAGAAACACTGTCGTTTCTGACAGGTTTAGTCCATTCAGATCATCAAGATGGGGAAGTAAAAGCACCATTGGTTGGGGCAGGGCAACGGAAACAAAAGAAAGAAGCGAACAACTTTCGCTACGAACCGCCAAAAACATCCAACAACAAAACAGACATACAAGGTGAGGCCCCCCAAGTTATAAGTTAGTTTATAACTCCAGTTATACGTTGGTTTATAACCCCAATAACTATACTTATGTCCCGCATAAACCCTGGGCTTATCTCTGGTTGAAATGCTAAATGTCTCTGGGGCAGGACCAAGTACTTTTGAGGTCAGGCCTTGATATCCATGATTTGAACATGTTTAGCCATCATTCAATACCAAATACAGGAAGATGTTCAACAAAATCTATAGGTTAATGGATCAAAACATATGAAATACCATGTTTTGGGAAGCTGAACATTGAGTTGCCAACTATTTTTGTCTTCAAGGGTGATCCAAGTATGACCCGTGCCGAACAAATCGGCCACCAAACGGCCACCGCCCTCCGGTAAAGTGACGTGTACCCTCTAGTAAATTGTCGTAGATATGGGGTTCCCCAGCATTTAGGATCATTTTCCGAAAAAGGGAAAGCCATGGATTTCCATGTCCATGTAAGTTTGCCAGAGGCTACCCTCTGGCAAACTTACATAGACATGGAAAATCACTATTTTTTAATAGGGAAAATCAACTATAAACTGATCATTTTCAATAGCAAAACCCATAGACCACTTGGATCAGCCAAGTTGCAACTGCATCAGCTTCCGCGTGCGCCATTCATTCAACACGCTGTCGAACCTGCCCGCAATGCCGGCTCGGCGGCAGGACCATGCAGGTGGAAAGATCATGGAAAATCCAAAGCCATACCACACATGGAAGATTCGCTTGGTTTTAAGATGTTGTAGGCAACTATAATCAAACAATATCATCCATGATCTAGGATAAGAACATCCCACACTGGCTACGGTAGTAGAATTGGATGATCCCAGGCCCCAACAGCAAAGTTGGTTGGAAAATGTGGAAACATCTGGAACCCTGGCAAGGGGCGCGACTTGATTTTGAACCAATGCAATGTGTGTATGTGTGCGTGTCGCGCGAAGAAGATAGAGAAGGACACCTCAAATGCACAGTTGGAGTTGCACTAAAACAAAGTCAACCATTTGCAGAACCTCCCGGAACAGCACGGAACCCCGCACTGGCTCCCAGAACCAGCCCGGAACCCGCACCGCAACTTTCCGGAACCTCCCCGAAGCTCCTGGAACCAGCGTGGAACCCGCCCCGAACCTCCCGCAATCAGCCCGGAACCCACAACAGGAACCAGCCCGAAACCCACACGGAACTTCCCGGAACAACCCCGGACCGGAACCTTCCGGAACCAGCACCGAACCTTATCTGGGCTGAGACCCCGAAGCTAACGCTGTTGGGGGAAAACATGGCTTTCGGGTATCTACCAATACATTTTTTTGCATCATATTTGGTGATTGAATCCCCATTTTGGAAGTTGGTCAAATACCAATCCCATGAAATCCCCATAAAATCCCATTGATTCCCATTAAATCACCATGAAATCCCATGGAAATCCCCATAAAATCCCATTGATTCCCATTAAATCACCATAAATCCCATCGCTTCACACCTGCCATCCCAGAAGTTCAGGTGAACTCCCTGATCCGTCAGAGGATCATATTCCTTGCAGGCTGTAGTGTATGGATATAGATGTAGATACATATAGGCACATGCCAATATATGATTCTATGTATATCTATACACCTATATATGTATTCTATAATATATACCTACCAAAATTGTATATACTGCCTGAATATTTGTGTATGTACTATCTTAGGTATGTATATATATATATATACATACATATATAATACATATATAATATATGTTGGTGCTAGCTCCAACCCATGGTCACACTTTGACAAAAAACTGATTTGTTTCAAGATCTGCATCAAAGCTTGGGTGAGTTTCATGGTATGGCAGCCACAAAATGGCTTCTATCCAGCATTGAAATCCAGGATCCAGGGTGGCCACCAAGCGTCTCTACCACCAGAGGCCACAAAGTTCTGATAGTCACCTCGCTGGAAGGCCTACGAGCTATTTCTTTGGATAAAGCCAGCCACAAAAATTTGGAGAAAGCCCTGAAATTGAACATAAATCCCCATGCCGTGGCCACAGTTGCCACGGAGCCCTGACATTCAACATGAACCCCCTGGAAAACTGCCAATTCTTGGGTAGAAAGTGGTGGAGGTGCACGGCTCACAACATGCCCAAAATCCAGGAAGTCTTCAAGTTCCTGATTAGTTCATCACATACATCTAATAAAAACATGACATCTGAATTTAAAAAAAAAAAACGCGGTTGGTTAAACCCTTACAACCACCACACTGCTTTTGGTGAAAAAGTCCAAATGCTGCTGAGTTTCTGATGCCAACCAACTTGTCAATCTTGATCTCCCCCGCATACTGCGTGTTGTAGGTGCAATCACCTACCAGTTACGGTGCTGCTTCACCAAACAGCCGAAGAATTGCAGCAGCTCCAGATTGGTTTACTATCGGACCTGTTGAATGGGGAGCTGCCATGGGCGCTATTTAAGATATGGATTTTTGGTTTTATACCCTCTTCTTGATATTTTCTACCCCACTTTTTGTCAAAATCTGAGTAGCCCCTATTGAATCTAGCCCTTTTTCGTCAAAAAAAACAGCCCCATTCCCCCGCTACAGCCTTGACCGTTGGGCTCCATTTCGCCAGGACATTTTCCGCCCGGCTGAGTCTCCAGACATCCCTCGGCCGGTCGGTCCACTTACCCGGTGATCCCGTGAAGAATCCATGATCCAAACTTCAAAATCCTGGCTTTGATACGGTATGATTTAAAATGTATGATAGAAGCATACATTTTTAACAAGAAAACATGTATGTTCTCAAAGACAATCAGGATTGGTTGGAAAAAGGTCACTCATCCTCATCGTCCTTAATTCAACTCAATTCCATTTTGGGGTCCATTCATTTGATTTGTTAAATGGTACATTTAAAAAAAAAAACATGTTTTACAGGGAAAAATGGATCCTGATGTTTTCTTCCTAAAGCTCTGTTGGTCATAGACTTGTTGGTCATCCCATACTACCCCTCATATCATGAGATCATCAGGGTTGCCAAACCACCCTAGTTACAAAGGGCGTAAAATGGATACTTATAGAGGCAAAATGACCAGTTTCCCACCCCTTTCTAGCTGTAATTTACACTGGATTGGAGCAATCCTGATATCCGACAAAAAAAAAAAACCATCATGTTCATATCATGTTCATCATCATTTTCCTCATTTCCCCCATTTCAACCATCGCTTTCCCTTGTTTTTAAACCTCCCCCGGCATGGGCCTTGCTTTTCTGGCCCAGCTTGGCCATTGGACAGGGCCCAGGCAAACCTCAGGTCTCCCGAGAGGAAACCTTCAAATGAATATGACAAATATGTTTGCATGCATAAGATGGATGGACGGATGGATGGATGGATGTGTCTATATTACATATATATATATAATTAGATATATATATATATATATATATCACTTCCCTGTTTTCCCGCTCTCACAAAGTTTCCCTGGCTGTGGCAGCAATTGGAAAAGATGCTGACCAACAGCTGAAGTGCCGCTGAAGCTGCAAAACAAGAAGATTTGAAAATCGACTGAGGATGCATCTGTGATGCAAACGATGATGCAAGCGCTCAGCTGAAACATCTTCCGGCCAAAAGGGTGGCCAGCGGGAGGGGCCGAGATGTGCTATGAGACATTGTGTCGCTCATGGGCACTGATACAAAAGACATCACTTCCCTGTTTTCCCGCTCTCACAAAGTTTCCCTGGCTGTGGCAGCAATTGGAAAAGATGCTGACCAACAGCTGAAGTGCCGCTGAAGCTGCAAAACAAGAAGATTTGAAAATCGACTGAGGATGCATCTGTGATGCAAACGATGATGCAAACGCTCAGCTGAAACATCTTCCACTCATACATCCCTTTGGCGAAGCCAACCATCATCATCCAAAAACATTGCCAAAAGTGCAGTTGAGGTGGCATCGAAAATCTGGATCGTGCGCTTGGCGATAGGATTCAGGCGCGCAACTAATGTCTGCGCGGCCACCTCCTGCACGTAGTGCCCGACTGTCTTCAACTGGCTCCACCTCCCCCTCCATTGGACACGAGGGAGATCTTCACAAGAAAGATACATATGGGTAGCTCCACTGCCCCGCAAGGTGGCGGGTGTAGCGCCTCGAGTCCGCTGGCTGCTGGGAACACCCAAGTGGCTAAAGACCGCATCCCACCTTCGACGATAGGCAGAAGCTCCACCTGCAAACAAAGCTTCAAACTGATGCAGGTGGCCAAAGACCTTGGTGACATACTGAAGCACCAAGGGGTCATCGATCTTGCAGTGCTGACGACGAGCAAAACGGCTGGTCTTCGGATTTGAGATGTGGACGTAGAAAACTGGCTCATGGTGCAATGAATCTTGGGGTAAAACAAGATCCCGTCTTTTCAGTCCCAGAAACTCACTTGGGTGCAACATTCCCAAAAACCCAATCAGAGTTACTCCTAGGAAACGAAACCACTGCCACAACAAACACAGGCTCGTCACGGCTCGCATCACTGGGGCCGAGATCACCGGCCGGCATTCGCCGGGCTCCGCAATCTGCCATTTCCTGTCGATGATCCATGCAGGCGCCATAAAAGCTCTCAGATGCGGAAACACATCCTGCAGCCCAGTCAACGTATAGACATAGAGGTATCGAGGTTCGCCTTGGCTATAAAGATGCATGCCATATGCACGAGCAGCCAAGGGCGCTGCCAGAGTGTCCCAACCTATCTGCTCCAAGCTGACATGCAACGTGGATCGCAACCAGGTCTCAAAAAAGGCAAGACAAGAGCTCATCCGCTTAGAGGTCGCTGGTGCAAACCCGACAGACATGTCGAGAGCTCCTCGGGGAGCCTTGACTTTGGAGGCCTGTTGCCATGGACCTGGATTTCGTTCGATGTCGCCGCACAAAAGCAGCAGCAGCCGCAACCACCGACCCGCACAGCGCGGGAATTGGCTGGCCATGAGGTGCAAATCAAACTGGTCATAATTGCCTTGCCGCAAGGCGGGAAGCCAGGCAGGCTCGTCCTTGCTGGGCTCAGGGACAGGTCTGTTTCTGGAAGGGCCATCGCTCCTATTAAACTTTGACCCGATGTGCAAACCCCCGGGGTAAAGGCCCCCACCTATGATGTACCCTAGCGACCCTTGCAAAACACGGCAAATAGCCTTGCTGCTGGAACGGCCTTTGGCCGTGGCACCCAGGGTGACTCTGGAATCTAAAAGTGCCAAAACTCGGGAGTTTGCATGGTGTTTTGCGCAATACTTTAACCAGGTTTTATGCACGCGGCTTTCAAGGACATTAATATGGCCGGGCTTAGAAAACTTATACCTAAGCAGCTCTCGGAAATGCAAACTGTCAGCCAGTTCTTCAACCCATTCCGGGTCCTCATGGAAAGGTCGTGGGGCCGACCCGCTCTCGGAAAGCACGGAGCTGGGAATGTGCAAAGGTTCATCTACGCGCTTGCAGCTGCGAACTACCTCTGGAAAAGGGATGATCCCAATGGAGTCATTCAAGGCTTGCTTAGCACTGACTGCCATGCGTCTGCACAAAGTCCTAGGATAGGATGCAGAGAAGGATGAAACAGATTCGCCTGGGATGGGTTGACGGCCGTACAGCTTCTCGGCTGAAGGCGAACACAGGCGATCAAATTGCCGGATGGTATCACGAGTGAAGGATCCCTCAATTACAAAGTGACCTTGGCCCGCACTGCAACGGCAGGGCATCTCAAACTCAAGCAACCATGGTTTGTTATGGAGCCACTGGGAGGGCTTTTTAAAGGGAGATCCAAATGCGCAGAAGCACATACGAGTTATGATGCAACCAGCAAAAATTAATCGCTTGAAAATCTGCAAACGAAACATCACTGAGGAACCTGGCTGCTCAACACTGAAAAACAGACCAGTCTGCACCACTATAAACATCAGGAATGCCGTCCGCAGAGCCAACCTCGTCTGCTCACGAGTCAACGGATCATTGATATTGAAACCTGCAGGGTGGAACCGAGATCTGATGCGTGGGCGCCGTAATGTACCATATGTGTAACATGGGGGGCCCGCATGCCAATCCCTGACCACCCCACGAGCGGCCAAAGAGACAAGTTGATGAAACACATGGTCATCTAACATGTCACTGAAAGCAAGGGAAGAACCCTTCACATCGACGCCTTCATGCACTCGAAATCCCTCAGCGGCATGAGCTCGGGACCAATTCCCCTCGCCACGAAACAACTCCAGGCAATCGTACAAGATGCCCTCATGAACTGGCGCGGGCACCCGGATGCTGCTATCACGGACCGAATCGGATGTGTCTGGAAGATCATCATCGAGATGCTCCAGGCCTAGCTCAGCAAGAATGGCAGCCGAAGGATTGAGCAGTTGCGTGTAATAGCCGCGCTGCTCACTGTGTCGCCAGAGTTCAGCCACTACTGTCTTGGACTCCTCGGCTAAACAGATGCCGCCGCCGGCGGGACTAGCATCGGTGCAAAACACAACCGGAGCTACATCAACCCTCAAGTCACTGCAGCACACTGGCCCCAGGAGAGCCAGAGCACAAAGTTCATTTCTTGTCTCTCTAGATAGCTGAAAAACTTGATTTTGGGGGCGATTGGAACCCTCACTAAACGCATGGGATAAAACAGCTAAGAGGGGACGTCTGAACAATAACACATGAACCCAACAACCAAGCAAGCTGGAAAGAAGTTTTGGGGAGCAAAAACCTTTACGGGCCACAATCATGGTGCAGAGCATGAGAGAAGCAATCCTATCCCGAGGTGCGGAAACAAGACCCTTATCACCATCAATCTCAGCGCCAAGAAAAATGCCCTGAAGAACCCCCCTACGTTTCTTTTTCGGGTGTTGTACCAAACCTACTTCAGTGTAGGCCTCTCCAGCCCTGTCAAACACTTCGGTATCTCTGAGCCTGACATTGCTCTGATACTCGCTACGGGACAAAACTTGGGCCCCTATGTGGTCGTCAATCGACAACCACTCCATGAACGAGGATCTGGGAAAGGACTTTCGATAGGCCACTCGCTCGTGGTCGAGCATGCATCCAGCCACAAAACGCAGGACGTTATGGTGAGCCTGCTGAGCAAACTCAACTGCCCAAGAGTCGCCCATGGCGAGCGCATTGAGAGCTACAAAGCAAAAACCGAAATGCCGATCTGGGTTGAAACAAGACAAATGGGAAAGTTCATGTGCTTTAAACTTTATGCCTATGCAATTGCGCTTTGCACGTGCTTCTGGGATCTTGACGGTATAATACATTTCCGCTAAATCATCCGCACTCAGCCGCAGGACCTGGTCCTGTTCGAGCCGAATCAAAGAAAACAAAGATCCTGGTGCAAGACTCTTAGTGAAATGCGAGTATGACTGCAATCTGGCGTTCACCCGTTGAGGGTTCAAAATCAAACGATCAAAATGTTCGTCCTTAGGGACAGTGAAGATCCCTACTGCTTCGTCCTCTTGGACTTCATCGACACGAAAAATTTTGCAAGCTCCTTTGGTATCCCACTTCTCAGCTAACTTCAAAAGTTCAGTTCTCGAGCAATGCACCCGACCCTTAGGTTTGTCGACCCACTTGCTGGCGGGCAAACGGACATTGGCGGGATCTACAAATGCATCTTTGACCAAGGGGTCAGTGAGAAAAGGAATTGGGTCGAAGCTAGGGGAATGTTCCCATTTAACCCTGGACGCAACCACAGGCTTTGCTACTGATGAAGGCATGGCAACCGTTTTAGTAGTAACTGGTGGGGGTCCCGAGCTATCAAAACTTGGACTACTATTATCCGGACTATTAGGGGCTTTAGGCCTAGAATAAGCATCCAAGTCATTTGCAATGCAACCTACTAATTCTATTAGGTCCACATCCTGGCAGTCAGGCAGTTCCTTAGCAGCACGCATGAGGGTGCTGAATTTTTCTCCGCTGCGGCCCAGTGTAGCGGCGGACACATCGCCGGCTTGCAGAAAGTGAGTGATCAGACGCTCCAGCCTGCACAGCATGTCCCACTGCACGTCCGTGTATGGCTGACCTGAACAGGCTGTCTGAGGGGGCTTTACGGGGTGACCTAAGGTTTCCCAATTAAGCACACCTACCACCTGCTGTAGCAGCTGGGCTCGAATCTGCAAGAATCTACGGCGGCGCCTACGTCGAGGCGACAAACGGAGTGGGCCCGTCCATCTCCAGCGGGGCGGGGGACAGGGACACGGATCAGAGCTAGTGTCAGCTCTGTGCACATCACGGGAATCGAGCTGCAACGATGATCGGAGGAAGCTACTCAAACCAAGGTGTGCAGCTTGCTGTGAATTACAAACAACTTGCATGATATCTAAAAAACTGATTGGCTCCGCTCCAAACTTCCCTAAGTCAAAATCCGGGGATTCCACGGCAGGGTCAGGACGAAGTCTGTTCAAAGGAACTTCATTGCAAAAAGAGTTGGCAGTGAGATGTTCAAAAGACTGAAAGCTGTCATCAATCAACCCTGACACCCCTAAGCTCGAACCCTCAGCTGAAGAATTTGAAAAAGACTGCATCACTGTTGGAGCAGTGCCATGACACCTCGAGGCTCTCAGCTCGCTGCCTCGCTGTCGCCTTCCTTCTTCTCCTTGCCCTTCTTCTTGCCTTTGCCTCCCGGCTTTTTGGTGCTTGCATCGTCTTTGGACTCTCTGTCGTCGGCCTTGTCGTTGCCCTTGTTTCCCCGAAGACGGCTCTCCAGGTAATCCAAGTCTTTCAAGAAGGCCAGATTGCCCGCAATCCACGGCGCAGACGCCAGTCTGGCGTAGGGCTTGATGGACAACCTTTTCTTGTTCTGACTGATCTGCTGGAGGTCGGGCTCCGGGAATGCACTGAGAAGCCATGCAAATTGGCAACGCCCCGAGTCCAGGCTCATCTGCTCTACCATCATCATGCCCCGGGCGGCCAGGCCCATTGCGAGGTCGTTGCCCTGCTCGAAGCCCACTTGCCAAGAGCATGCCATGAACTGCCCTATGTAGGACAGCATCCTCTGGTCTCCCAAAGCTATTCTGCGTTCCATGTATTGCCTCAATAGGCCCGATCCCACCTGATTGGAGCTCAGGCCCATGTCCGCAGCAGCATTGTTGGCAATAGCTTTGCCCGTCGTCACAATGTCCTCCATGGTTCGCAGGTATGCGTCTCTGGCTACGCAACCTCTGACGCCGTTGCTGCTGGAGCTTCCGGGCTCGTTGCCCAAGGCGGCAGTGATTTGGTCTCGAGGTACCTGAGACGACAATCTTTGGGTCAAGGCTGCTGTCTGCTTCAATTGCAAGGCCAAGATCTGATGGAGCGGATCCCGGCTCTGGGCAATCACTGCAGCCAACTCGTCGTCCTCGAGGACGCCGGCCTGCAGCTCTGCAAACTGGTCTTGAGCTTCTGTAGCTCGAGCATCTTCGGGAACCTGCTTGTGCTCCTCCTCCAGCCGAGTCAGTTTGCCAGGTGCTGGCCCTGCTAGCTGCTTGAGATGAAGCAAAGTGCTGGCGTCCAGGCTGGACTTCGGCACATCGAAAAGGGTTGCAGGAGGCGCCACTCCACGGTGCGGCTCGGCTTTGGCTCTTGGAGGCACAGGTTGCTGGCTCTGCATAGAGCGGGCCAACTGATCTTGAAGATCTCGAACTTGAGCCTCCAGCCGCCCGACGGCCTCGTCCGGGGTTCCAGGTCCGTAAGTATGAGAAGGACTGTGTTCCTCGGACGCGGCTCCAGGAAGATCTGAATCTGCAGTAAAGTACTCTTGGATCGCTTCGTCCTCGCCACCCAACTCGGCTATCCATGCCTCTGACATCTGCCAAGCCGCCTTTGCAGCAGGACGAGCAACCGATTCTCCTACTTTCAAACAGTGAATGCTCACGGCAGCCGCGCCTCTGAGAGCTGGAGCTCGGCTGAAAAACAAAGCACATTCTGCAGAAAAATCTACCAGATATACTGAGCCTTTTCCAAACCTGCGACCCCGAGAGTCTTCGAGGTTCGCCTCTTCCAGCTTGTACACCAGCTGTTCTGACCCTAATTCGCCAACCAAGGCGTCCAGCACAGATTGCACCGTAGTCAGACCAGGAAGGATGACCATGAATCCATTTGTTCTGCATCGCACCAAATAACCAAGAATCCTCACCTCCTCCGGAGGGTCACCAGCGTGTGAAACTAGGCACAGAGTTGGCAACACTTTGGAATGTGTAGAACTCGCACCCAGCCGCTGGACCTCGTCGAAGCTCAAAGGTCTGTGCGTGATTGGAGCTCCCTCGGCCATTGCCGGCAAGCCCCTCTCAAGAAAACTTCAGCTTCAAGGTGAGTGGGAAATGAATGAGAGACACTGCCAGCCTGAAACCGCTCTTCGTCAGTCTCAGGATCAGCGATGAAACCCCAATACAAATCGTAGGAGGTGGTCCACCACCCAGTCTCACTCCGAATGCACCGCAAGCAAACGTACACCTGGTTGTCAACGCCTGGCAGGGTAGGAGCTTGAGCTTGGCGATGGAATTGACCAGTTAAGACCCGGCGCGCAGAAATGCCAGCACGAAGTGCTCTGCCCACACGCGCGGCAGGACACCAGTCAGGATCGAGAGATTGAATGGCAGGATCTTGTAGATAAAAGTCCAGGAAACTAGGCACTAAGTAAGCCAGCTGGTCAGGTTCCCGGCTAGACAAAATTCGCACCTCAAAATCCCTAGAAAACTCCACAATAGAAAACTGAAAAGAACTGCTACGAGGAAACTCCAAAGGTCTAGCAGGTCTCACAAGCCTAGAACTTGGGGGCTCTGAAAGAAAAGCTTCCGGCTCCGGATCAGTCCTGTCTACCGCAGCAAATTCAACCGAATCCGCTTCAGATGCAGGGGCCTCGCGGCCAGCAAGTGCAGCAAAGGATGCAGTGTCCGAAGTCTCCTCAAAACTGGGCGCTAGATGAGTGGTAGAAGGAAAAGGAGACCACGAAAGTATCCAATCAATCCAATCACTCATGCATGGTACTCCCTAAACCGTCGCCGCAGAGCAGTGGTTTGCTCACCTGCTCCCAGATCAGCCCAATGATGGAATGCACTGAGGATGCACTGCCACAACCACTGGCGACACCTGCCTGAAAGCACTACCACTGCAAAGAGGAAGCCAGAGCCAAAGCAGCAACACGCAAGGACTATGGCTGCAAGGATCAAAGTGGCCCAAGGGCAGCCAGAGCTAGAGCTGGGGGCCCACCACCACCAGCGAGCTTCTCTTACAAGCTCCAAGGTAGCTGACCAAAACGGGCCACTCATAAGCCGAGATGTGCTATGAGACATTGTGTCGCTCATGGGCACTGATACAAAAGACATATATAATTATATGTATATATACATGACCTTCAATAGATATTATGAGTGTATAAGTGTATAACCGTCAAGTTCATAAAGATGATGGTGGCTAGACACTTCAAATCAGTGTGTGTACAACCAGCCAAATTGATGGGTTTTTGACTCACCCAGTTTCAGGGTGGATCTTGGCCACAAATCTTGGCTGACCATGGCAACCGGGTGATGTTCTTTTCGGAACGCCCAACCTATGGCCATGCCATTTGTCCATTTATAGTGGATTTTCCCATTAAAAATGGTGATTTTCCCATTAAACATGGTGATTTGTCCAGGTGTTTTTCACAACCATCTAAGTAGGGGCAATGCTCCAAGATCTCATTAAAAAACCAGCAGGTGATGCCAGAACATCCTCTAGTCTCTATTTCAAGATGTCCATTTCTACAGTGTCTCTGTGCATCCAACAAAACCGCGAACTTTGGAGCTTCCGGAAGCAACGAAGCCTTCCCAAGCAACATTTCGCCACAAACTTTTGGGTTCACAGTTTCTAGAAAAAGAGTGCCACATCGTTTTTGGTCTCGCTGAATTCCCTGGCTGAGTTCCAAGCTAAACCAGGCGGCTTCGGGGTACTTGTTCAAGGTATTCCTTGGCCATGAGTTCTGCCACTTAGGATGTGATTGGAACCAAACACCAACTGTAAATGGTCTGGGCTGACCATTTTATGGATGTCTTAGCGATATACAGTACTTGGCATGTGTTGTGATTGAAAATCCAAAATCGGCGACAGTTTATTTCGACGCTATCCAATGGTTGCGTTCGTTGGGGACACTCCGGGCCACTAGGGGCCACTAGAGCCATGTTGATGCTGTAATTTTGATGGCATGACCGGCATGACACATGGCGATGTACCCTCTGGTAAACTTTCACATAGCCATGGAAAATCACCATTTTTAACGGGAAAATCCACTATAAATGGTGATTTTCAATAGCTATGTTAGTTTACCATAGGTTAAATCTTTTGCAGCTTTGGAAGACCCTTCTGTCATGGTACGGTTCCTGCCGATGGGTTTTCATGTCCTCAGCTGCCTAAAGCACAGTTCTGACTGAACACACGGTGTACGGAAGCTTGAGGCACGACTGTGGATAGATATGTGGGGTTAGTCTCAATCAACCGTGGCGAGAATCTATGGAAAACCAAATTTACCCTCTGGTAAACTTTCACATAGCTATTGAAAATTGCCATAGAAATATATAGTGGATTTACCCATATAAAATGATGGATCTTTCCATAGTTATGTGAAAGTTTACCAGAGGGTAAACCTCCATTTTCCTATGGGTTTCCCTATGTTTTCCCATTTTCCCATGGCTTTTATCACTGGGACATTTACCAGGCCGGGTCTCCCAATTTACAGATTTCAATGGTCCCCAGATGTTCCCATCAAGCACCCTCCATCTCGGCAAAACAAGCAGCCACTTCTGATGAGGAAAATTGGCGGCGCTGCCTGCACCCGAGCTGGCGATGAAGTAAGAGACACCAAGCTGAACTTATGCCCTCTGGTAAACTTTCACATAACTATGGAAAGATCCACCATGTTTCAATGGGTAAACTATGGTAAACATGTTCAATCAGTGGAATCAAAATCAAAAGTCATCAACTTCGACATGCTTTCTGGTGTCCAGCTCTACAAATTCCCCAAACATTGGGCACTGCGCGGCCTTCAACCCAGTTCTCGCAGCCCACGGTGTAGCCGAAGCGTTTGAAGTTTTCACACTCCTGGGAGCATAAGGGCTGCTGGTCATGAAAAAACCCTGAGAATTCATTGGTCACTGGGAATTCTCCAAGGTAGGCTTGAGAATGTCGAATTGGTCACTTGAACTCATCAGGTAGCCTTGAAAGTTCTTTAAGAAAAATGAACCCACCTCGGGTAAGAGAAATGAATGATATATCACCTAAGTATCCCCATGAATCTGCCAGTGCTTCACCAAGGATCAAAGGGACCAGTGCACTCAGTGATGTCAAACTCGTTCATGACCTTGATGATCATCATTTTTGGGGGGCATCTATGATTCAAAATCATCGCCTGGAATAAATGGATGCTTTCTACAGTATATAAAATGACCAAAAAAAATGTCTTAGTACTAAAGATCTCTAAAGATCACATGTTCGAATTCTGTGGGAGTCAAAATAACCAACCGCTCCTACCGCCCGCAGATCAACCGGAAATATCAGCATTAGCTCAAGACCCTATGGTTTCCTGACAGGGCACATCTGAGGGATGCCACGGACTAACCACATCGCTCCAGGATCATGGGATTTCGAGATTGGATGGTGTCTTTCGAATTTGAAAACCCCGATTTCCCCACAATGTTTAAAACATGTTAAAACCCCAGACCAACCCCAAAAAAAACCTGGCTTCTTAAATTTGCGATCATTTGAGCTCAAGTGGCAATCATCTTTGTGACCAAACCCGAAAGAAATCAGAGTTTCCACTCAAAAATGTGAGATCAAGTCTTGATCAGCAAAAATTTGGATCTTGAAGTCCCAGGCTCGAAAATCGGACCCACAAAAAATCTCTATGAACTCGAAACTTGTCAAGTCAGCATCAAAACTGTAAAGATATGTGCAATCTATATAGGTAGACAAAATATATATATATACATACATTATACAGACCCTTGACCACCTGAACAGCACGACAGCACGGGGCTTTCATGGGGCCCAGGATTTGGATCCAGACTCCAAAGTTCATCCCCAGGTCAAACAAGGGCTGAGTCGCCTCGCGACGGGCTGAAGCCGTATGGAGAAGGTGGGACAAAATGCAAAATTCGGGTGATATTCAAGGCATCGAAAACCCATAGAAAGTGAATCCGCATGGTGTTGATATATTTTTTAAAGTATATATGGTGTTGATATATATATATATATGTATGTTTGGGGGAAATGTCAGTTGAAACATAACAGGTGGTGTATGGTGGTATCCAAAATACACTGGGAAATGTTCATTTCTCCATGTATTCCCCTGCGTACAGAATATGTTGAATCTGTTCTATGTGCATAATAGATACCGATATAGAACAGCATATATATATTTATTTATACACCATATATCATATATCCAATGATATCCAATTATCATACAGGCCCATTATGTATGAATGTATGTATGTAATGTAATGTAATGTAATGCAATGTAATGCAATGTAATGCAATGTAATGTAGTGTAATGCAATGTAATGTAATGTATGTCTGTATGTATGTATATCTATGCATGTCTATGCATGTCTATGCATGTCTATGCATGTCTATGCATGTCTATGCATGTCTATGCATGTCTATGCATGTCTATGCATGTCTATGCATGTCTATGTATGTCTATGCATGTCTATGCATGTCTATGTATGTCTATGTATGTCTATGTATGTCTATGTATGTCTATGTATGTCTATGTATGTCTATGCATGTCTATGCATGTCTATGCATGTCTATGTATGTCTATGTATGTCTATGTATGTCTATGTATGTCTATGTATGTCTATGCATGTCTATGTATGTCTATGAGTGTATGTATATGTATATGTATATGTATATGTATATGTATATGTATATGTATGTGTGTATGTGTGTATGTGTGTATGTGTGTATGTGTGTATGTGTGTATGCATATATGCATGGATGTATGTATGTATGTATGTACGTATGTACGTATGTACGTATGTACGTATGTACGTATGTATGTATGTACGTATGTACGTATGGAGGTAATGTAGGTAATGTAGGTAATGTAGGTAATGTAGGTAATGTATGTATGTACGTATGCAGGTAATGTAGGTAATGTAGGTAATGTAGGTAATGTAGGCAATGTATGTATGTACGTATGCAGGTAATGTAGGTAATGTAGGTAATGTAATGTAATGTAATGTAATGTAATGTAATGCATGCATGCATGTATGTATGTATGCATGTATGTATGTATGTATGCATGTATGTATGTATGGATGTATGCATGTACGTATGTATGCATGTAACATCATGTATGTATGTATGTAATGTAATGTAATCTAATGTAATGTAATGTCATGTCATGTAATGTAATGTATATATGTTATGTCTTGGTTTATTTCATACCCTTCTTTGGCATCCCGTTCCAGGAACTCGGTCGACGTTTCGCCTTGGTCATAACCTTGTAGCGCACGATGCGTGTCTTGGGATCTGCAAAATTGGTCCCGGAGCGGCTGTTCGCGTGCCAAACGATCTCCTCGCAGGGTGGGGGCACGTGGGTTAGAAAAAATGACGACGGTGGGTCGTGGCTCAAGATCGGCTGGAACTGGAAACAAAGATGGAAAAAAGTCAGTCCGGAAACTTTGAAGTTGAAACTCCCAACTTTTTCCAAAACTTCTGGAGGAATTGAACCCAGGCGACTGAATCGGTAACAACAGTTTCAAATTTCAAACTATTGGTTATCATTCACCGGGTAATCGGTGGAAACTGAGCCATCTCACCAATCTTCTTTCAATGATTAGTTGCAGATCATTTTCTGGCACAGCCACGACCTCTGCATCGGGTCAAAATAGAGGCTTTATCAACACGAACAAAAACCGAAAACTTGACCAAAATGGCTATGGGTCAAAACCTTGGGCGACCCTACTCGATCTATCGTTGGTCAACGGATGTGTATTCCCCCAAGTCTGGTGATGGATGGTTTTTGACCCATCCTCGTCTTTCCGAACCCATCCAAACCATCCAAGGTACGTTGTGGAGGTAGAACATGGCAGCCCCAGCAGTGGTGAGATCTGCATTTGCACAGCAGGAATAGTTGGTATCCTTCCAGGGCACAGCATCAAGTTTCGGGGAAACTTGAAATGAGTGTCTCTAAAAAATTGGAGTACCATGTGGCATACCCCCATGTTTAACACTGTCAATGGCAAATGATGATACACATTGATAAACCATTGGATGTAAAAATGGGGCTTTTCTGAAAAAAAAAGACCGACCAACCGAATAAAATGGTCACTGCGAGCGTCGCTCTGCACGCGAAAGAGATGGAAGGTCATCAAGGGCGCAGTGGAGTTTTTCACCTCGGTGGTTCAAAGGTCATCCGGGAGGCTCGGTGAGGAGTCGGTCGTTTGCGGACGGGGAATTCACCAACAAGAATAGGGATTTCACCGATAAAAATATGGATTTCACCGATAAAAATAGGGATTTCACCGATAAAAATAGGGATTTCACCGATAAAAATCGGGATTTCACCAACAATCTGGCCAAAGTGATGTGCTTCCGACCGTTTAGATTTGGATCACCTGGCGGGTCGAAATTGCAAACCCAGGTTGCTCCTGGACAATTCCGAGGATCATAGAGCTCTAGTCCTTGAACCCCAAAAGACTGCCATTTGCAAAGGTAAGTCCTCTTTCAAACATTTTTTTTGGGGTTTCATGATCGTGAGGAGGGCAAGCACCCATTCAACCATATATGACTTATGACCGCCCCATGCATTCCCTCATGTCCCCGAATTCCTTTAGGGTATACGGTATACGTCACAAATTGCCATATACCACGGGTCAATGTTGTTCATATACCCGAAGTGGTTTGGTACTTCAAATCAGTGGGAAACCATAGGCTGGCTGCAACTGGTTGTAAACTGCGGACCACAATGTCACAAGTTGCCAGGGGCCCTTAGAATCCAAAGCGGAGCAAAAGTCACCAGCAACCAAGGGACCAGCTGTTTGTTCCGCACTTTGTACATGGGATTCATCTCGGATGAGTACCTGAGATTTGAAATGGCTCAGCCTTGACTTTGGCACAAAACCAGAGGAAAGATTGAAGCCTTGAAAATGCAGACTTCAACTGAGCACAAAACATGAGATTTGACCATGGTCTTTCAGTTTAAGCTAATCTGGAGAGTTCGGATGGTGTTCAGCTCCCAAAATAGCTGGCTTCTTCAGACCCAACTTTTTACCAACACCTGTCGAGCAAACCAACACGAAGGAAAATTCTGACTGGATGTGTTAGGTTTTCTGTTGAAATCTACTTTGCAGGGCATTTTCCAATGTGTGCCTCAGGTGTCTCCCATCATTTCTTGCACGTTTCCACTTGAGATTGGGACCCCCCTGACGCAAAGTTGAGGACACCCCCCCTGGGGATCTCCAAAATACCACAGCCGAGCAACATCTTGGGGGGAGGTGGGGGAGCTGGTGCTGGTGGCGCTTTTGGCGCTTTTGACAGACCATGGCAGTTGAATTGATGTCCATATTCCTCGGCGATGGGATCCCTGCAACAGAGACCGAACATTGAAAAGAGATCCTTTTCGAAAATTCCTCGGTTTTCAACGAGGTATCTACCTTTTTGGGAAGGGATTCCAAACGCCCCAGCAAATTGGGGATTTTAATGAAACGACCCCTCAGATCATGGTTGATACAGTAATGTCTCGTGCTCGTTTGCACTTGGGTGATTCATGGACAGCCATCCAATTTCAGGAGTGGATCATCTGCATTTTAATGAGATCGCCAAAAGAAAGCGTAGAATTATCATATTTGCATATATTTGCGTGTATTGTGCCACCTCAAATACACCTCGCAGTGGTGAATGCCTTAGACTTTGAAGCAAACGCGGATGTAAAAAATCAGGAACCGTGGATGGTTTACGACCTTTCACGCCCCCCAAACCCACAAACGCGTGTGGTGCTGTCAAGTTTCTGTCTTGATCCTCTTTCCTGAGCATGGGGCAACAATGCGCACCCCAAGGCGCATCTTCTAAGACCCGTGGGTGATCTCAGGGGGAAAACCAAAACAAAAGGGAAGGAACCAAGGCTCCATTGCGTTTCCAGCAAATCCACATGTACCATCCACGGTGGATGTCGCATTTGCAGTCTCCTGCAGGTCATCAAAGACGACAAAATCCGGACCCTGAGACCGGACCTGTTTTCTGATAGAAGAAACAAATGAAATTGAGGCTGTAGGATGTGAAGAATGTCTTGAAACCAACAACAAACCACCCCAAATTTTGCAATGGTACAAACCATCTCGAATCAGAGGCTTGGGATTGGGTTTATTTTCATTCTTACTTGGTTTGCCACATTGCATCCCTAACAGCGTGATTTGATCCAATCTGACTCGTTTGTCAGCACCCATGGTTCGGCTCGCTGTCCTTTCTTAAAGCCGTAGTCCAGCCAACCTTGGAGAACCGGAGACTTACGTATTTAGACTCGGCGACTCGGATGTACCCCTCAGGTTTTTTAAACAATTTCTTTGTGTTTTTTGAATTTCCCCGTGATTTACAGGACTTCGAGATTCTGTTTTTCTCACGTAACAAAAACTTTCTTCGAGTGATCCCCACCCTGATCCATTTTTCTGACATAGTTCTGACATACCATCTGGAAATATCTGGAAGTCATTCTTTCTGGCACATGCTCTGACATTCTCTCTGGCATTCTATCTGGCATCTATTCTGGCGTGTCTTCTGGCATATCTTCTGACATGTTTTCTGGCATTCTACCTGGTAAATCTTCGGAGATTTTTTGTGGTTGAGGTCCGGCGGGGAACACTCCGATCCGGAGCTCGCAATTGAGGTCCGGCAGGGAACACTTTGATCCGGAACTTGCGGTGGCGGTCCGGCGGAGACACTCTGATCCGGAGCTTGCGGTGGAGGTCCGGCGGGGAACACTGCGACCTCGAGCTTGGGGTGAAGGTCCGGCGGGGACCACTGCGATCAAGAGCTTGCAGTTGAGGTCCGGCGGAGGAGGAGCAGGAGGCGGGACAGCTGACATAAAATCTAACAACCATCACCTGACAGGCCGGGAAAAACACATAAATGTCCCCAGTGCAAAGAAGCATCGAAGATGCTTTCCATTCCGATACACAGCTTCACGATTCACAACAGTTGAGGCACTAGCATCGCCACTAACAGGAATGTCCCCATTAACTAGGGTAACTAGGCCGCTTCAGGATCGTGAGCTACGTCATTGGTATCCAAATCATGACATGTTTGAAACTGCCAAGCAGATGCTTTGGTAACTAGTGCTTGGTCTGTTCCTCCCGACTTTTGCTGGTTCAGTCAGTTAAATTCCCATGTCTCTTCATCCAAGGCACAGGTAACCCAATTTACAGGGTGGCTTACAGGGGATTCCAGAACGACTCCCCTACAAACATCTATGTATTTATATATATACTATATATTATATATATACTATATATCTACTATATATATATATACCATATATATATACTATATATATACACTATATATATACACTGTATATACTATATATATATACTATATATATACTATATATATACTATATATATACTATATATACTATATATATATACTATATATATACTATATATACTATATATATACTATATATATACTATATATATATACTATATATATATACTATATATATATACTATGTATATATACTATATATATATACTTTATATATATACTATATGTATATGTATATATATACTGTATATATATACTATATATATATATTATACAATGGATGCCCAATGTTGGCCATGTCTCTTCCAGCCCAGGCGCAGGTATCTTGGCAGTAGCGAAAGCTGCTGTTACCCTCCGCCTCCGTCTGCAGCAGCGACGGTAGCGGCGGCAGCACGTCGGGCTTCTCGGTGGGTAACGTTGGGGGCACGGAGGGCGGCGCGCGGTTCACGTCGGCTGCGCAGCGCGGCAGGGGTTGGGTGGCGGGGTGGTGGGGTTGGGGCACAAAGCCGATGATACAGTATATGATATGATATGATTTGTTTATTGAAGGAAGTTTAGAAGTTAAACTTCCGACAATATGGACAGATGGAAAGGCAGAGGTGGGAAGAGTCAGAGAGAAAGTGAGAAGGAAGAAGCTCAGAGAAGAGAAAGTGTCAGAAGAAAGAAGATGCAGGTGCACCAAAAAGTAGAGAAAGTCGCGAAAGACTGTGTGTTTCTAATGTTTTGTGGCTCCGGAGGGTCGAAAAGTAGGCTCGCTAAAGCAGCGGGTGCGGAGCCATCTTGGGAGATGAGAGTTGAAAAATTGCACGCCGTTGTTGCGCGAAGCAAATTTGGAACTGAAAATGCATGAAACACTTCAGCTTCGGAGCACTTTTGGAAGTTGAGCTGTTGAAAAAGTGAACGCCGTTGTGGCACGAAGCACATTTGGAAGTCAAAATGCGCAATATGCCTCAGTGTCGGAGCACGTTTGGAAGTTGAGATGTTGAAAAAGTGCATGCCGTTGTGGTGCGGAGCACGTTTCGAAGTCAAAATGTGAAAAGCACCAACCATACCACTACGCTACACTACACTACACTACTCTACACTGCACTGCACCGCACTACACTACACTACACTTAACAACAACAACAACAACAACAAACAACTACAACTACAACTACAACTACTACTACTACTACTACGACCACCACCACCACCACCACCACTAGGACTACCACTACGACTACTACGACTACTACGACTACTACTACTACTACTACTACGACCACCACCACCACCACTACCACCACCACCACCACCACTAGGACTACCACTACGACGACTACTACTACTACTACTACTACTCCTGCTGCTGCTACTACTACTAATACTACTACTACCACTACGACGACGACGACGACGACTACTACTACTACTACCGCTACTACTTCTTCTACTACTACAGCTACAACTACAAGAACATCAACTACAGCTACAACTTCAACTACAACTACAACTACCACTACACTCCACTGCACTCCACTACATTACAGACACTACAACTACAGCTACAACTACAACTGCGACTACAACTATAAATCCACTACAATACACCACAACTACAGCTACAACAACTACAACAACTACAACTACTACAACCATTACAACTACTACAGCTACAAACAACTACAACTATTGCAACTACAACTACAACTACTACAACTATGGCAACTACTACAGCTACAAACAACGACAACTACAACATTACAACTTCAACAACATCAACTACAGCTACAGCTACGACTACACTACAATACACGTACAACTACAACTAGAATTACATTGCACTACACTACACCACAATACATCCAGCAGTTGTGGGTGAGTTGACCACTGCAACCACTCCAAAAAGCACAGCCACCTTTCGGTCCATCAGCGGATTCGCTCTGCCATCCATGCATCACAACAAGTCACCTCTCTCCTATAGTTTCCTATTTTGAAACTTCCGCCACCGCCTTGTGCGGTATCACTGGTATAAGACCATCCAACTGTAGATAGATGTATCCAAGATAAATCCTAGTTTCGACCAGTAAAGGGACAAGTCAGCCAACATCCTCTCAACTCTTGGTCATTGGGTAAAGCTTGGAGGCTTGAAAATCAAAGAGTTCGAAATATCGGATGAAAAAACTTCTTCTAATTTGGGAGGTAACCTAGATGCTTCAAGCAAGTCTCAGGGTGTGCTTGCGAGGTATTGCAAGTCCACAACAGATTCTTGAAGTAATGAATGATGGATGAATCATTTCATCTTGGTACACTGGCCTTAGCATCCCTAGAAAGTGTCTCAAGAATAGATGGGACTGTAATGTGAATGACCAGCCTTGCTGTGGAAATTTGACCCATATCCGGCCGAAACGACTCACCAGGCTCCATGACACACCACGCCTGTCCCCCGTTTGGCGCGTCGCTGCAAGGCCGAAAATGCGCAGTCCGTTGCGACGCGGCATTCATCCGTAGCCAGGGCGGCCACCAGTGACAGCACAAGCGACAGCCCAACTCGCATGGCGCAGGAGGACATCAGGTTTGGAGGAACAATTTGGGCCCAGCCTTGGAGTTGGGATGTCAAGTACCAAAATCTAATGGGTTCCATGAACAGTGACTGGATGCCAAATTCGGATTTTTTGGAATCCATGGCTGAAATCTGCAGGATGAACTGGGAATTTGGGCTGCAAGTTGGCAAGGCCAAATGGTGAAGCCCTCATTTTAGCCCCTACAGCCGACTTTGCGGCGAGCAACTTTGGGCGAAAAGGATACCTTGCGGCGCGGCGCCGTCCCGCCAGATGGAGATCGCTTTCCCGGTGCCGTCCTGTATAAATCCCATTGATGACCAGGGAAACCAAACATACCCGTTCCTGAGCGGAATGACCGTGAGATTGAAGTCACCAAACTCACCATCCCCACTCAGAGAGGCCCAAATGTGCAACTTACAACCAAAGGAACTTCTTCCAAAGTTTGGAATTTGCAACCATCTCCGATCACACCCTACTGCACTGCTAGGAAATGATGATTTAATACAGCACATCGATTTTACCAGAGTATTTGCCAATTCGACCCCAACTTGTGGTTTGTCAGAAAATTGGGAACCCCCGAATTTGCTGGTTTACCATGATGTTACCCTTAGAATTGCAATACATTGGGGTATACCTATACCCATTTTCAGACAAACCCAAATCATATAGTGTAAAAAAACTATGTATATCCCATTACATCCAACTATCTGGGTAAATGAAATAATATTTCACTGTCCTGAATTGTTGGGCCATAAAAGGGGATGATTCCCCATATAAAAACCATGATTTCCCAGAACTATGTTTGATCGCCAGAAGTGTTGTTTCCCATGTAACCAGGCTGGTTGGATCGCCTGCCCACTAGGTCCGCGCCGGCCGCTGCTTTCGGCGGCATAGCCGTTGGCCTGGGGAATCCAGGTGCAGTGGCTTGAAGTCTGGACCAAGAATGCATTGATGTGCAACAGCAAATACATGTGCACTACATTGTATAAGAATACAATATATACTGCATATTAACTGTATATTAACTGTATATTAACTGTATATTAACTGTATATTAAATGTATATTAACTGTATATTAACTGTATATTAACTGTATATTAACTGTATTTTAACTGTATATTAACTGTATATTAACTGCATATTAACTGTATATTAACTGTATATTAACTGTATATTAACTGCATATTAACTGTATATTAACTGTACATTAACTGTATATTAACTGTATATTAACTGTATATTAACTGTATATTAACTGTACATTAACTGTATATTAACTGTATATAGTTAACTGTATATTAACTGTATATTAACTGTATATTAACTGTATATTAACTGTATATTAACTGTATATTAACTGTATATTAACTGTATTTTCACTGTATATTAACTGTATATTATAATAGGCCTAATATAACTGTATATTAACTGTAAATTAACTGTATATTAACTGTATATTAACTGTATATTAACTGTATATTAACTGTATATTAACTGTATATTAACTGTATATTAACTGTATATTAACTGTATATTAACTGTATTAACTGTACATTAACTGTATATTAACTGTATATTAACTGTATATTAACTGTATATTAACTGTATATTAACTGTATATTAACTGTATACAATATAAGAATCCAATATTTCGAGAAAGAGAGAGAGAAAGAGGGATATCGTTTTCTTTAAACACATCCCACATGTATATGTAAGTACACAGTTCCTGTTTGTAGTCATTCACCAAGAAGTTGCTTCGGGGAAACTATGTTTCATTGTATCCACTTGCGGCCATTCCAGCCCCTGACAAAATTCCTGCCATGTTCTTTGGGGAATCCAAAGCAGCAAATCAAATCTCTCTGTTGGTTTTCTTTTTCGGCACCTGCCTTTAGGATACCGAAAATTGAGATTTGCGTGTCGCATTTCGCCCTGATATTATTGCCAAAAAGAAACGCAACAGCTGGACTGCCCCCACACTTAAAATAAGCCGACGTAGATCCCCAACAGCGGTTGGTTTCAAACAGTGGTCCAACTTTGCAACCCAAGACGGATTAATGATGGCAGGAACAGGATTCCATAGCCTAAGTCTCTTCGGCGATTTTTTGCCCGCCCTGCCCCGTCCCCTTTTGGACCAAAGGCAAGATGAGACATGTTCTTTAAGAAAGCGCGCATAATTGAATTTACATACATTTGGTTACAAACGAATGGCAGTATTTGCAGACCACGGTGTGTCATTAAGTGTTTACAAAATTGTGTGTGTGTGTTGGTTTGGGATTATCTTGTCGTGCTTGAACAACGTCGGTCAGTTTGCGCAAGTGATTGGTGAAACAGTTGGTTTTGGCCAAATTGTCCATCATGATTCCAGAATTAGTTTCATGTCAATACTTGGTTGTTGTGTCACAACTGTGTCTGAAGTTTCATTGTGTGTTGCTGTTTGGTCACTTAGCTTCAAAAAATCATCTACCTGGCTTCGAGAAGCCTCACACAGGTTTGCTGCCAATATTTAGGTGTTCCAAGGCATCGAACTTAGTTGCTTGATGTGGCATGTGCTTTGGTAGATGCGACATCGGAACAGTTCAAACAGAAGATTTTACAGCAACATCAGAACAGGTCAGTCGACCGACGCTGTGCGCCCACTGAGCAAACGAACATGAATCGGCATGTGCGGAACCCGCCACAAAGCACCCAAGATTGGCTGGGGGATTTCCGGAATCCCTTGTGTTCCTGGAACCTTGTCTTCCTGGAACCCTCGTTTCCGGAACCTTGGCACAACCCACAGCGTATATTGGAACCCTGGGTTTGCGGAACCGAGACGCGCTGATTTATTGTCACGCTGTGCCCCCCTGTCAGCGATTGCTCGTTGACAGGGCCTATATGGTCCTGGAACCTTGGTTTCCTTGAAAATTGGTTTTCTGGGACCCTGTCCGTAGCATGAACCTTGGTACAACCCACGGCGTATATCCGACCCCTGGGTTGTTTCCGGAACCTCGGAACCTTGCCAGAACCCTGGTTCTCTGGAACCTGGGCTGGGCTTCTTGAAAATTGTTGTTCCGCAGCCTTGTCCCTGTCCGGAACCTGTGGCATAGTCCAGGAAGTATATCCAAACTGTGGGTCCGCATCCGCGGTGGTTCTCGGAACCTTGTCGGAACCCAGTGTTGCTGGAACCTTGCCGGAACCCTCGTTCCCCAAACTCTGGGTTTCCAGGATGTTTCAAAATTGGTGTTCCGGTGATTCCAGAACCGCTCGAAACCATGGTAAGGTTCCCGGAACCTTGTCGAAAGCCAAGTGTGCCCGGAACCTTCCTGGCGCCGAGAACCTGGGGATCCCGGAACCTTGACGTCCCGGAACCCAAAAGGTAGCCAGAACCCATTGTTCCCAGAACCTTGCTTGAAAGTCTGGTTTGCGGAACCTGGAACCTTGCCCCGAACCCTGGTTCCCGGAACCCTGAGTTCCGGAACCTTGCCCGGAACCCTGGTTCCCGGAACCGGCAGCGGTTGGTTTCAAACAGTGGTCCAACTTTGCAACCCAAGACGGATTAACGATGGCAGGAACAGGATTCCATAGCCTAAGTCTCTTCGGCGATTTTTTGCCCGCCTTGCCCCCTCCCCTTTTGGACCAAAGGCAGGATGAGACATGTTCTTTAAGAAAGCGCGCATAGTTGAATTTACATACATTTGGTTACAAACGAATGGCAGTATTTGCAGACCACGGTGTGTCATTAAGTGTTTACAAAATTGTGTGTGTTGGTTTGGGATTATCTTGTCGTGCTTGGACAACATCGGTCAGTTTGCGCAAGTGATTGGTGAAACAGTTGGTTTTGGCCAAATTGTCCATCATGATTCCAGAATTAGTTTCATGTCAATACTTGGTTGTTGTGTCACAACTGTGTCTGAAGTTTCATTGTGTGTTGCTGTTTGGTCACTTAGCTTTAAAAAAACATCTACCTGGCTTCGAGAAGCCTCACACAGGTTTGCTGCCAATATTTAGGTGTTCCAAGGCATCGAACTTAATTGCTTGATGTGGCATGTGCTTTGGTAGATGCGACATCGGAACAGTTCAAACAGAAGATTTTACAGCAACATCAGAACAGGTCAGTCGACCGACGCTGTGCGCCCACTGAGCAAACGAACATGAATTCGGAATTCAGTGAGGGGCCACAAAGCCCCCAAGATTGGCTGGGGGATTTCCGGAATCCCTTGTGTTCCTGGAACCTTGTGAACCTTGTCTTCCTGGAACCCTCGTTTCCGGAACCTTGGCGCAACCCACAGCGTATATTGGAACCCTGGGTTTGCGGAACCGAGACGCGCTGATTTATTGTCACGCTGTCCCCCCCCCTGTCAGCGATTGCTCGTTGACCGGGCCCTTTTGGTCCTGGAACCTTGGTTTCCTTGCAAATTGGTTTTCTGGGACCCTGTCCGTAGCATGAACCTTGGTACAACCCACGGCGTATATCCGACCCCTGGGTTGTTTCCGGAACCTCGGAACCTTGCCAGAACTCTGACCTTGTCCCTGTCCGGAACCTGTGGCATAATCCAGGAAGTATATCCAAACTGTGGGTCCGCATCTGTGGTGGTTCTCGGAACCTTGTCGGAACCCAGTGTTGCTGGAACCTTGCCAGAATCCTGGTTCCCCAAACTCTGGGTTTGCAGGATGTCTCAAAATTGGTGTTCCGGTGATTCCAGAACTTTGGCACAATCCAGGCTCTGGCTGCTCGAAACCATGGTAAAGTTCCCGGAACCTTGTCGAAAGCCAAGTGTGCCCGGAACCTTTCCGGAACCTTGACGTCCCGGAACCCAAAAGGTAGCCAGAACCCATTGTTCCCAGAACCTTGCTTGAAAGTCTGGTTTGCGGAACCTTGGGTTCCTGGAACCTTGCCCCGAACCCTGGTTCCCGGAACCCTGGGTTCCCGGAACCTTGCCCCGAACCCTGGTTCCCGGAACCGGTTCTCGGAACCCTGGTTCCCGGAACCGGCGAAACGAGGCGGCAGGGTCGAGCAGTGCCCCGGAGCACCCCGAAGGCTATGTGGGCTGAGACCCCAAAGCATTCTGCTGTTGGGGAAAAAATTATATGAGTGGTCCATCATTGCAGACTGGCCCATCAAATGGTATACCCTCCAGCAAACCAACATAGATATGCCAAACCCATTTTTCCCCATGGTTCGAATGATCTACGACTAGTGATGGGTCCAGTCCTCTATCTTCAGAGATCATTTAAGTCGGGTCGTCCGTCCGTATTGTGAGATCGATACGAAGATCTCACCATGGCCATGGCCACCAAAAACGAGTTTCCCGCTAAGAGGAAAGGTATCAAATTTGGCCAACCATTGGTTCGAAAATATGGGATGGATCAAAAACCGCTCCATAACAGCGATGAAAAAACGTCTCAACTGATTTTGGTGTGGTGCCAGGGTGCTGAATGGGTGAATTGATTCTTAGTTTTTGGTGGTCAAAAGCCATGGGGTTTTGGGGTTTGGCTATGGCGAAAAAAAGAACATCCGTCCAATTTGCTTGGAGTCGACGGATTCCATTAAAGGATTGATGACCATCATCATGGCTAGATCCAACGACCCAAAAAGAAGACTGTGAAGACTGTGAAGACTGTGACGCCAGTCCTGGGCCAGAGCCTTCTTCTTTGACCTAGCTCCGGGATCTGCGGAAAGATGTATATCTAGATGCATCAAATAAACTGATCGATTGATTCGTTCAAAAGAATACATACACATGTGTTTACATATATAATTATAACTATATAATCATATGTGTACATGTGACGCATTTGTCTCATATGTCTACAGCATGGGAATTCGACATGGTAGACACATCCAATTCTCAGGTCTCTTCGCAAGTTGGCGAGCCCAAATTGTCATCCTTGCCTAGGTTATCTGAATGAACCATACAAAGTAAACACATTTGAAAGTGCGTGACAGTCAACCAAAATCTGCGACAAGGCAAAATGTTGAAAGACTTACTCTATCTTTCACTTCAAACCTCCAAGCCACTCATCACCAGATGTTTTTTTGGTGAATAATGTTTCCACAAGTGATGTCCCAAAAGCCTCCAACGGAAAAAATGCTTTCCCTGTGCAAAAGTGGCCATTCAGGGTTGCCCAACATACGGATGTGTCAAAACCTCTAGTTCACATCAAAATCAATGGTAGTTATATGATGTTATATGGTTGTTCTTAGCCAAGCATGGTATGTTTTCGGTTACATATCCCATTATCTCCCCATGTCTGATGCTGAAAAATTACTAATCCACGAAATATTCACACAAAAATTACTATCCGTTAAAATATGAATCCCAAATGATCCCAAATATTGCTCATCCACATTAAATTACTGTTAAATTCCGCTTATGATCTCCATATGAATCCATTACTAATCCCCAAATCTCAGCCCACACGCCCGCACCTCTTTCCCCCCAGACGCGCAGTGGCTGCGCTGGCTGTGCTGGCTGCGCTGGCTGCTGCCTCAGTACCTCGAAAAAAATCCAACTGGGTGTACTTTCTTTGGTTCGAGATTGTTACCCTCCGGTAAACATACAAAAAGCTATTGAAAATGGCCATAGAAATAGTTGATTTACCCATTAAACATGGTGATTTCCATAGTTTTTTGTCTGTTTACCAGAGTGTAGATTAAGTGAGATTAAGATAGATGAAGTTTCATTGCTGGCTTGACGTTGGATTCTTGTACCTTTACAAGCAAGGCAGAAGGCCATCCAGTTGCATTCCCTGCTTCACCATGTTTGTATTGCCGGAGGTTCTATCCCAAGAATCGCTAGAATTGATGGTTTCATACCGAACAAGGTTCTATTTAGAAAAATGCAAGAATTGATGCTTGTCTCATGCCCTCTAAAAGGCGCCACTCCATGCGTGGTCCTTAGAATACTTAGAATCTCCAGACTGCCCTTCGATCCCGGCTACAAAAATCCGCGCCTGAAGTAGGCGCTGCCATGTGTCTCACACAAGCCTGGCCCAGCAAACATCAACGTGGCTGGGAAAACTCCATTTTCACAGGGAAAAACGTGGAATTCAAATGGGTGTGTCTCAAAATGGGGTAGTAATACCCCAAAATTTATAAAGAAATCATGATGAACCATCAATGTTTGAATATATCCAGGGGCAGTTCTAAGTGTTCTAAAGAATGAAGAACATGCATTCGTCAATTTGAAAAAATCCAATGTTGGAATACAAATCCTGGTGAGTGGGAAACATTGGATTAAATCATTTCATGGCCATAGAGAATCTCGATTCTTTACAAGAAAGTTCTGTGTATGGTAAGGAGGAATTATTTATTGCCTATCGCCAGGCTGAATTTCTAAATGATTATTAAGTTCCCAATAAACCAGGTGGATTAAGAATCTTTATGTTTCTTCTATCCCATCATGTCCCCACTATTGGTTGGATAAGTGCCATCATAATATCCATTGATATTGAAATATGCATCTAATATGTGGCTGGGCATAATAGTCATCACAATATCAGCTATCAATAACATTCACTTAGGTCTATATGCATATTGCGCATCATCTCCACTAATTCATACAGCAACCCCAAAAAAGATGGAAAAGTAAAATCCGACCAAAGTAGTGCTAAGTCGCTTGTCTATCTTGTTGGGTGGTCCTAGATACAGCCCTAATGCTAGTGGTCAATATCCCCTGGGCTGCGGCACCTTCAGCCACCAGGCACCACGGCGCATGCAACGCGCGAGCTGGGGATGAAAAATGTGACTTGAAAATGAGTAGGTCAAGGCCTTAAGGGCAAATCCACCACAATCATCCCGATGAGGGGCAAAAAAAACCGGTGGAGGCTGAGGTATGTTTGACATTTTTTGATGTTACTTCGAAGTTGGATGTTTGTTTGTGTTTCGGGAAGGTACTTTTGGTAATGATTGTGTGATCGCAGAGCTCCCAAAATTCCTGGCGATCTGCTTTCTCCCGTGGTCCTTACCAGCTATATAACTTGAGGCCAGGGGGGAAGGTACGAAAAATGGCTGGCTGGGATATGCAGTTGAATGCCCGAAAGTTGTAAGTGCGCAATGGTGTGACTGGCAATATTGAATCCAAACAAAGTGTTTATTCATCTGCTTGACCGACAACCTTAATAGTTTTGGGGAACAATCATGACACGTTAATTTATGTTAATTTAAAGGTTCCCTGCATAGCATCAAATGATTCTGGAATCCAAAAAGAGGGGCTGAATGAACTATGGAAAATCACCATTTTTTATGAACCATTGTTTTTAGTGCCTGATCAGTCGCCAGTTTTCCATGGCGAGGGTTGCCATTTGGCTGTTGGCTCATGGATATTCGTCCCTCTGATATAGAAAATCAGATGCCTGGAAAATCAATATGATTGGCTACATACAAATTGTATCATATGCCATGTCCTGATTATATATATATATCATATATCCCAATCAATATATATATATATATACACACATAGCTCATAGATGATCACCAACCCCCACCCCATCCCACAAGGGGGGGCGGGGATGATCCTTACCCATACCCCCATATATACATATGTACATCCCCGCGAAAAATCCCCATCGGCAACACCTTCCCGAAACCCGGGTGGGTCGGCACCGACAAAACGTTCATGGCTCGGCCGCGGATCTTTGCCACCTATCAGCGGTGCACGGTTTAAGTCCAGGGCATTGGTCAACTGTCGGTTCTCAAAAAAACGGTGGGAATGGCGATTTAAACAATGACATACTTGGGACTTAAGCCCACACCATTTCCGACTCCTACTTGCAAGAATGGGAGATTAAGCCCGATAGTCCCAAGAATACCGGTTTTTTTGAATTGCAAGTTGCAAATGGTCGGAGAATATATCAGAATCCCAGGAAATTCGGTGGACAATTGTTATAATTCCTTTCCCCCCACGACATCAACGGGCCCGCAGCTTTCCCCCGGCGTAACAGCCTCCCGTTGATGAATAGGGATCTGGTCATTGATGAACTCGCTTCCCAAGCTGCTGGCGCCTGTGTCCACCGTGATTGAATATGAGTGAATGATGAAATATCTGGATAAATAGGTGGAACCAATAATTATTATAAGTAACAAGATCTGAAATATTAACTAACAATTATAAATAGTGGATTGTTAATGAAGGTAAATTATAACAAGTCACTGACAATAAAAAGCTTGGCCATACGTCTTCAGTCTGCTGCCCAACCCCCGCGGAAGCACCTGAATAGTTTGGCCATTTAGGAGTAGCAACGCCCTACTAACCATTATCCCAGTGACGTTGCAGCGACGTCGTGAAAATTTATCCAGAAATATTGACATAGAGGATGTAGACAAAGCATGTGAAAATGTACAGCACGTCCATCTAACAGCTACCTAGAAATGATATTCTGAGACGACTTTCACTTTGGGTATGTGTGGGTATGCCTCCAAATTCAAGCCCCAGGAACCCGCGATAATTCGGTGAATCATTGTTATAATA